TCTCGCATTATTGTTCAGTTTTCTTTAAATTTAAGTCTTCCGCATATTTATTTAATTCCATTGTTTTATGCTATCTCCGATCATTGTTAAAAGAAGTAATTGTTAACGAAGTAAGCAGTTAAGGATTGGTTTGCCTAGCTCTCATTAGTAGGCGCCATCACGACTCCCGAGAGTGGGAAATCCGGGTCGTGACATTTAAATAACTACAATCATCTTCCCAAACGTGGGTATCCTATCATTACTCCACAACTTATCCACTTTCTCCATAACTACATCAACAATTTTATGTGACTCCTTTTGATTCCTTTTCGATTCTCTTTTTGCTTTGGTCAGAATACGAACTTTGCAAATATGGCTACAAAACTTCATGACATCAGACAAATTTCAAGCAACTCCATGCAATGGAATTTGAAAGTTAGAGTAGTTCGAATGTGGGAAATCCCGGATCGCTACAAGCCTGAAATACCTTATTCGATAGAGTTGGTATTACAATATGCAAAGGTAATATATTTATAATTGCTTTTACTTTTTTCTTCGTCTTCTCTGCTGCTATGGTTCATAGATTTTCCAATATGTAATCGTTTATTAGTTTTCAATAATCCTCAAACAAATGAAACTACCAACTTGAAGTGATTATGTGTGAACATCTGATTGATAATTGTTTACTTATTTCCAGCAAAAACATAATATTAACAATATATTACATCTTATATAATCCATCTGATAAACAAAATATGATGTTCCTCCTGAAACTGCTACAAAATATAACAATATGCATATATTCTGCCAGTGAAAGTTACAATGTTTGTTGACAATTGTATAATCTATATAGCTACTGCAAATTCTAAAAATATGCACATTCAGACAAAAAACTTTACAATGTTTGTTGACAATTGTTTACTAATTTCCAGCATTAACAATTTTTATCAATCTAATACATCCTAACAATTAATATGATTTTCTAGGGTGATCGTATACATGCCTCAATCGGGAAGTATGTTATAAAGTTCTTTAAGAATAAGATACAGTAACTCGATTTATATCGCATGACCTACTTTGTTGTCGGGCCAAATAATTTGAAATTAAAGACTACAACACACAATTTGAGGCTGACATTTACGTAGAGGACAATAGTTGAGGAAACTACTGATCCTACATTTCATATGGATATCTTTAACTTGCGTCCTTTTTATCAATTCACGAATCAACATGATGTCGATGAGGCAGAATTATTCGGTAATTCTTCTTTTTCATTTAATTCTAATACTATGTTTATTAAAATTTTGTGATTAACTTTTATATTTGTAGATGTCGTTGGTCAGGTTGTGACCTATGAAGCTGTTCAGACCTATAAGCAAGGAGACAACAAAAGTGTCTTTATGAATATTGAACTTGAAGATGATAAGTAAGTCATTTACAAATAGAAACTATACTTTGCAGTAAAAAGGATTTTTTTTGTATTGAGGTTTTTCCGTGAAACATATAGGAGGAACAGGATTTCAGCAACCTTATGGAGTGAACTTGTGGATCAAATTCAACCTCACTTGAATGCATCTACTGCTGATCCTTTGATTGTTGTTCTTCAACTTATGAAAGCTCAAAAATATCGAGGTTTTCCAATAGCTACATTTATATTTGATAAACAGTTTCAAAATAATTTATAGTTTTCAATTTGTAATTTTTAAATTTTATTCATAGGTAATTACTCAATGCGTAGCTGTTGGTATGCTTCAAAAATATGGATAAATCCTACTTTTCCGCAATTTATCGATTTTAAATCCAGGTTTGTCAAGGGTATAATTCTTATTTATATATACTATAAATATAATATTATTATTTAAAACTTAAGTTTTTGACTTATGTAGATTAGATGCAGCGCTCCAATCAAACTATGAGTCGCTTACTCAGACAAGTTCTCAACAAAGTCACTCTATTAGAGATGAGTTAGCCAAAGAAATTGTATTGGTTAAAACTATTGGGGATTTAGTTCAGTGCACACAAGTGAGTTAAATATAGTTTTAAAAATTTACTTACCATTTATTTTATGTTTTGCATTTACTACGCTATTTTTGTGTTAAATAGGAGTGTAACTACTAGATTGCTGCAAAGTTGGTGAATTTGGAACTTCAACGAGGATGGTCACATTTGGGATGCAACAAGTGTATTAAAAAGGTTGAAAAAGTTGGAAATAAATTTTTTTGTAAGAAATGCAATGAAGAAGATTGTTCTGTTGGTCACAGGTAATTATTCTATTATTATATAGATTTAAAACACATAAAAAGGAAATACATAAGGTTAATCAAAATTTAATTGCAGGTATCGACTTCAAGTTCGTGTTATGGATAGAACTGCCTTTATCTCATTGTTGCTTTGGAATCGCGAAGCTCAACAGCTTATAGGAAAGTCAGCGAAAGAATTAAAGGAAGGATTAGTTGAGGTATAATAATAAACTTAATTTAAATGTAGTTGTCAATTATGATATTTCTGATCTATGAAATTTGGTGTAGATTTTTGATGCGGATGCTGATTGTTCTTATCCAAGTGAATTGGATGATATTCTTGATAAAAAATTCATGTTTAAGGTTATTGTTAAGCAAACCAATATTGAGTCACAAGACAAAGCCTGCAAAGTTGTTAAGGTTACTGATGATGACGATCTTCAAAAGGAATATGCCCACAGCTCATTTGAAGACACTATCACAGTAAAATATCTTCACTCACAAATTAAGCTACTGATACATTTATGAAAAAGAATAAATATAAATCCTACAACCTTCATAACATGAATGTTTATTTTGTTTTGTTTTACTTTTTAATAGGATCCTTTGGAAATACCTGAGGGACAAATCTCGGGTGAAGAGAAGGTTTATGGGGTAATTTCATGAAATTAAAACAGTTATAACATTATTAATTATTTAGTAAAAAGTTATTACTAATCATTATGCAACCAAAGGTAGTATCGCTCTTCAACTCCTCTTTATAGATTATTTTTATTTTTGTAGGATTTTGTGGTCGAAAGTAAGATGAAATCTGTTTTACAAACTCCCATCAAGAAAATATATCAGAAAGTGGATCGTCCGTGTTAGAAGATGGTGATGATTGCAACACAAAACTATCTCCATTGAAGAAGTATGACAAGAGGAGTAGATCTGCCAATAAGGCACCAACAGTAATAGCAGATGACGACTTGAATTGTCAACTCTCTAGCAACAAGGTTCGCCGAGTGATTAAAAAAGAGAAGAATCCATGAATAACTCTATTGAAATGACCTTAGCTATTTAATTATATAGTTTCTTTGCTATGTAGGTTTATGAAGGACAAATTTTTATTATTTGGGCAAGTTCATTAGGGAGTAAAATTTTCTAAATATTGTTCTAAATTCATGTTTATGAATTAGTGGTTTAATCAGCAGTGACTTCACTCTTTTTGTTAATATTTTTTATGCAACATGTTAGTTATTTGAACAAATCGATTGTTCAATGAATGTGTTGGTGAAGTTCTGATTTTTGAAGAATTTATTCAACTCAATCTTAGTACAAGATATATTTGATAGTTCTAAACTCATCGATGAGTTGTTGTTCCAGTAGTTGTGTGTGACCAATAAGGTTCTGTTAATTATATTTTTACTGCAGCTGAAGTTTTGTCTACTCAACTATCAATGGGAAATTAAATTTAACTTTTTACCTTGTTTCTTATGCTTCATGTTTGTGAAAATAATCTTCAAAGGACATGTCTATAAAAATTGTGAAACTTCTGATTATTCTGTTCAAAACCTAAGGTAGTGTATTAGTCTATTCTGAAGCAATTTCATAGCAATGGTAATTACAGGAACTCTCTGTTTATGAATTAGGGTACGCCTGAAAATTAACAAGAAAACTCAAGTTAGTAAGTAGAGAAATAACCTACAGATTAGTGTCAAAGCTTACATATGTTGTTAGTTATAAACATAATCAAACATTATGGAACATGAGCTAAAGATAATACCAAGGAATTAGCCATAATGTCATTTATCACGAAAGCTACTACTCTAACAACCTATATGGAGAAGCCTCATCTAAAATCAAAGTCTTAATCTTGTGCTGTATAGTTATGATAAACAAATGTAATAGTGCATTGCAAAAGCATGACTCTACACCTGGGGAGAAGGATAGATAGTAAATCCAAGCTTACACTTTTTTCCATAATCGACAAATAGATGTTCCAGCAACAATGACCCCAATCCAGAACCAGTACCACCACCAACAGCATTAAACACCAAAAAACCTTGCAAACCCGTGCAATTGTCAGCCAATTTTCTTACTCGATCAAGGCATAGATCGACAATCTCCTTCCCAACTGTGAAGAAAGTTAATACTGTTGCGGAAACCAAATGTATATAGTGTGAATAAGTCACAAATACTATACCAAAAATTATGACAGCCACCAAATAATAAATAAGACAATAAAGCAATAATAAAAGGAACACTAGAATTTACGAGGTTCGGCCAAGTTTGCCTACTCCTCGGACACAACCAATATTTTATTCCACTCCAAAAATACAAGTGAAATAATACTAAAGAGAAAAGATATAAATGTCTTAAGAAGATAAGAAGGCAAATGAGAGCTGTGTTTAAATTCTAAACATTAAGCCTTCTTTTATAGGGGGAAAATCCCCCCAACTCTTCTTTTCCCACTGATGTGGGATAAAAATATTTGCCAAACTTAACAAATCTCCACCTTGGCAAAATTCCACATTTTCAATTCTCTCTCAATAACAAATTTTGGTTGTGTCTTCATCTTCAATCTTCAGTGTTCAACAATGTTGATCAAATCCAAACAATGTTGAAACTTGACCGCAGTCACC